GTGCTGAACATCGCATTGTCAGTGAACTTGTTAAGCTGAAAGTTTCGCGTTCACTCAAACCGCAATTCACACACGCAGCCTTTCAGTTGAATTCGTGCTTTTAAAATGCTGGCCAGAAATTGTGGCTGAATTCGTAATGAGCCAAATTGTTGCTGGGCAACCGAGGCTACTAAAGGTAAAATGTTGTATGGTGAAAGGTGAGCAGCTAATGGTTAAAATGGAAATTTTAGAAATAAGCTAATCGTTGGCAGTTAGCCGATATGTTGGCACTGAAAATCCGTGTACACGCACTGAACTTAGAAACCCAATTTGGCCATTTATTATAGTGTTGCTACACTGAAGATTTAAAAAGAAAAGGAAAATTTTTAAATGCTTTCACTGAAATCTTGCGCACTTTTCCTTAGTTAAATTATATATTTTTTCATTTAATCCTAAAATTCTCTCATATTTGTTTCAACTCTTTAACATTCAGCTGAGTAGAAAAATTAAAAATATGCATTTTCACGTAACAAAAATTCAACATTTTTCATTCTGCAACTAAAGATTTCTTGAATTGCTGGCGCAGCAAAAATCCTTACGAATGCTGCAACGCAACCATTTTCTTGCAGAAATTCAAAGCACAGCAATAATGAAATGCAGACTTTTATTGTTGCGTAAAGCAGTTAAAATGTTGTTGCTGGTGTTTGTTTACAATGATATTTGTTTGTTTGTTTGCTTGCATGTATGTATGTATGGTATATATGTTGGTATATATATGTACGTATATGTGTGCGCTCCTGAATAGAAATAGAAAAATTGTATGCCATTTAAGAAACGATGCAAGAAAGCAAATGCAGAAAGGAATAAAAATAAATTGTTGCGAAAATAAAATGGCAATGGCAAAGTGTGTGCGACGAAAGCGGTGCGTGTTTGTACAAATGAAAGTGCAACGTCACAGCAGAAATCAGTGCAGGGCGAAAAAATGTACCACAATAGAGATAAAGAAGCGAAGAACATGGGTGTGAATGTAGAAGGAAACTTCTCGCACAAGAAAGTGATGGAGCGCAGAAAAGAGTTTTGTTGAATAAGCATTGAAAAAATGTTGCGTGGCAATTACTGCAGGCAGGCTCGGAAGGGTACTACTAATAAATATTTTGTGTAAATATATAAAACCATATATTTCATATTAACTGATTCTATACGTTTATGGAATTCCATTCCTGCTAATCTAAGAAACAACTTTAACAAAAGTAGCTACAAGCGATCTATCTATGTTTAGTTTAGTGAATGCTAATTAATAATTTGGACTGACCATCAATTTTTAAATTCTCAAATTAAATATTATGTTAGCATACAGACACCGTTGCTTAATTTACCTTTATGTTTATATTTGTATACCGTTGTCTGTTTTGCTGATGTTCGAAAAATCTAAATTCAATAGAAGAATTTCGCGACACCAAAACGAAATTGAAAGAGATTGCTTTAAAGCCTGTAACCCTATAGGTAGTAATATGAGCAACATGTATTCAAAAACTTTCTTGCTGTTAAAAAACTAATGATGCATTACACTAAGGTCAAACTTTAATTTTCAAACCCTTCTTCTGGAAGTCATTTGAAGAGATATATATATACATACGTGCATAACTATTTGCTGCCAAGCACGCCTTTGTTCTTAACTGCAGTGTTTACAGAAAATGCAATTTGCAAACAATGCCCTTTTCAGTTGTTGCTTTCAGCTGAAGCTTTCAAGCTTTTTTTCGTTTTTTTTTTTACTTATTTTGTTTTGCACAAATTGTTAGTCGACTCTGAATTCTTGCTAGAATAACTGAGTTGCTGACTGATTGACGGTTGCGCTATTCACTTGCGAATGCATGTGCATGTTACTAGTAGAACTGCGATTTTTACATTGTTATCACTAATACTCATACATACAATCACTTTCTACGAAATACGAGTATGTACAAACAGAAAAGTACTACATACATAAAACACAAAGGTGCTACAATTTCACTTTTTCGATGCAACTGAAATAAGGGTAATAGCATAGCAAACTGTGAAAATACTTTTCAACTTCGTTGCCAGGAAATGCAATGAGCTTATTGGAGCATAAAAATTTGATTTTGATTCGGCTCGCATTTCGGTCGTACATACATACAAAACAAGGGCATTTGGAACTTGAATTACGAAAAGGACTACTAGCAAATGAAAGCGAATTTATGCGTAGTTGCATTGCAGTGTTAGTAAAATAAATTTTGAGTATGTATTTCGCCTATTTGCAGTTAACTTAAAGTTGAGGTACACATATAAAAAAAATTTCAACTATTTTGAGAAAACCTAAATGCAGTTCGCACACAAATTTAAGCAAACTAGTGTTCGCCCAGCGGTTGAAATTCAACCGATAAAATTAAGGATAGTTTATGTAAGTTGAATGAGCTAAAATAACATTAGTTGGAATGGGTTAAGTGGAGGGGAGTTTAGCTTAGTACTTGGCATAACATAACATAACCATAACATAAGAATAAATAACATAACATATGAAGCATAACACACCACAATATAACATCGCACACTCTTCAGTTGTATTTCCTTTTTATCCCTTTTTTCACCTCTATCTAAATCTTATTTATTTNAATACTTACAAAAACTAAGCAGCTCAATTTTCTTAAGCTTAAGTTAAAAATAGCCCAAAGTCGAGTCATGTTTGGCCTTAAACCAGTTTCAACAAGGCATAAATGAAACTTTTTCAAAAATAAATTGGCAAAATTAACCAACATCAGCATGGAAGTATCAAATTTTTCGAGAGTTCTTGAAAAAGTTATTTCACTAAATTTCATTTGTCTCTAGTAGTGGTAATCCAATTGAAAAGCTTTCTCATTAAATAAAAGATCGTTAAATTTTCTATCAATATTGCAATCAAAACTCTTTCATTGCACTGCCTTTTTCGAAGCTATTCGCGGATATTTTGAAAACTTCGTTACCTTTTAACAAAAAAACAGAAATTCAGAGATATTAGCTGCCTTAATAAAGGAGTTTTACAGTAAAACCCCATATCTGAACAATCAGTTATATGGAGGCAATAAATAGGTTAGGTATAGTGACCCGCTTTGTTAATTTTTGTAAATTTTACTTTAAACTTTTGGTTGATAATGAGTGAAAATAGTGCAAATTTTCATGTTTTCTAGCTGCATATATGGAGAAGTTATAACAAAGAATCTCATATCTGAACAATCAGTTGTATGGAGGCTATAGGTTATAGTGACCCGATCTTCGTCCGATTTTCACGGAAAGTATTATTTTAATAATGGGTGGTAACAGTGCAAAATTTCATGTTCCTAGCTACTTAAATGGAGAAGTTATAACGAAAAATCTCATATCTGAACAATCAGTTGTATGGAGGCTATAGGTTATAGTGACCCGATCTTCGTCCGATTTTCACGGAAAGTATTATTTTAATAATGGGTGGTAACAGTGCAAAATTTCATGTTCCTAGCTACTTAAATGGAGAAGTTATAACGAAAAATCTCATATCTGAACAATCAGTTGTATGGAGGCTATAGGTTATAGTGACCCGATCTTCGTCCGATTTTCACGGAAAGTATTATTTTAATAATGGGTGGTAACAGTGCAAAATTTCATGTTCCTAGCTACTTAAATGGAGAAGTTATAACGAAAAATCTCATATCTGAACAATCTGTTGTATGGGAGCTATATGTTATAGTGGTCCAATTGTTCCGGTTCCGACAGATGAGTAATACATTAAAAAAATACATCCATCTACCGAATTTCATCCGGATATCTCGAAAACTGAGAGACTAGATTGCATACAAACTGAAGGACAGACAGACAGACAGACGGACAAACGGACATGGCTATATCGACTCAGCTCGACATTCTGATCATTTAAGTATATAAGGGTATATCTCTTCTTATTCCGGTACTTACAAACATCGGACCAAAGTTATAATACAATTTCACGCTCATGGAAGTTATACAAATTGCAAAATATCAACGGTAAGCCCAAGTTACTTAAAATTTGCAATTTGTTTGCTAAAATTTAATGAGCGACAAAACTGAATACCAAATTTTTGTCTAACGATGCTGATCAGGAAGTTAGAAATTTCGGTCAAATTTTGCAGATTTTTCATAATTTTTGCACAAAGTCTGAAATTGGGATTTACATCGTGTTTGTTAAGTAATCGCCTATACTTTTATAAAAAATAAACATTAAACAAACTAAAGAAAAATAGCCAAAACTTGCTTAGTTCACTGTATGTGTATTTCGGTAACCGATTTATCAATTTGTACCAAACCCAGTACAATCATTGACCTTGGCATAAAAAAACTATAAACAAACACGCTTTACAAAAAACAAAGATGGTAAATGACGCTACAATTAAGCTTTCAACAACTGCAACATAAACGAGTACTCTGCTTAGTTTAAGTAAAACAAACCAGGGTTGTTGCGAATATTATTCCGAAAGAAAAGTCCTTTCCGGATAAAAAAAACATACCGCTTATCCAAATTAAACAAGTTTGGTATCAAATGAAAGAGAAAACTGAAATGTCTGAATGAAGAAAGCTACATACTAAAAAATATTTCAATAAAAAATATTAATTAATTACCATAAGACAAACCTTGAGTCAGGTATATGCATTTCTTTAGTATTGAATTATAAATAACATACAAATAGGTGTCGTTCGTTATTTACGTTTAAAAGCTATTTCAGTGCTCTTTCATATAATACCAAATTTATTTCATTTGGACAGGCGGTTTTGATTATTATCCGGAAAGGACTTTTACTTCGGCTTAATATTCGCAACAACCCTGAAACAAACTCCAAAACGGCTTCACCATTTGCGCTATTCATTCCACAAATTTGGGATTTCGATTTTAATTTTTGCCAACTGCGTGATTGCTTGCGTCTATGCAACCCAATTACTTAGTGTTTTACATTCCCTTGGTTCTCGTTCGCTTCTAATGCTCGCTATCTCCATTTCTCTTTTCTTTTTCCCCACTATAGGTTGGCACTTCGGAAACACAATACATTCGCACTATTGACAATTTGATGGCATCTCGCATCAGCTTAAAATTACAACTGCAAGGCATTCACTTCGTCAGCGGAAATCCATCATTGCAGCATAGCGGTGGCGGTTACAATGGCGGCAGCGGCTTTGGAAGCGGTTACGGCATGAACTCCGTGCATGGGCAAGCTGCTGGCAGCAATGGTGGGAGCAATGTTGGCAGTTTGGTTTTGCGTTGTACAGCACAAATTGGTGATTTGTATCAGGAGTATAAGGAAATTGAATTGGGCACACCACAAAAGGATCCAGTGCCAGCGAGAGGTGAGTGTGTTTTTGGAGTGTTCAGTAGAGAACCGCATTTACATTGTAAATAGTAAGCTTTGAGATTCATAATGTAATTAGCGACAATAGGAGGAGATACATACGTACAAAAGACAGTAAAGGCTTCGAGAAAGCTTTTGCTTTAATTACGAGCATAAATTATGGAGTTATTAAAATTCATAATACAAATTTCAAAATTTAATTGATTAAAGGAAAATCACTTTAAAGCAACATCGCCAGCAATTCAGATCGGCAAAATTATAAGGGCTTACAAGGGGTATAGGACTATACCTGGTATAGGTGGGACATTGGCGGTCGTAAAAGGCTATTTGGACTTTACATTTAGTAAGCTATTTGCTAATGTTTCTATTGAAATCCTAGGTCAAAAACTGTTAAATTTCTAGCAAAAAGAGGAACTCATGAAATCGGAATTTCAATGCTCTCACCCCTTAGGATTGTTCTATACTGAAAAAATATACCGCTATCTTAATTTTTTCGCATTAAAATTGCGACATTACTTTCTTTTAACCACCCTAATGTGCATATGTACTTCATGACTTTTTGGAAAAACTTATGGACTCTATCAGTTTCAACGTGTTTTCGTAATGTTAGTTATATCGTGGAGTCTGATAGAATACCCATGCCTTAAGAATATTTTTGTTCTAAGAAATTTTTGCTAAAGTCGACAAACCCCTAGAACTGGGCGTGTCGGTTTTGGGACTTACGTTAACAAAATAAATATTTTATTGTCGATTTCGGCATAATATGCTTTTGTTAACAACATTTGCTCCGTAACTTTGTTTCAGAAGGGAAACATTTTCTACAATTGGCAATTTTAGGACCAAAGGTAAAAAATTTATTTTTAATTGTTGATTTCGATAGAATCACTCTTCAGTAACAAAATTTGTTTCGCAGCTTTATTTTGAAGTTATTGCAAATGCCCATTCAAGCAATTGATTTTAACAAACCACAGTACATGAAGAATCATCATGCAGTTTAAATTTTATTTTTTTCATTGCAATTTGCTGTATATCGAAGATATCAGCGATGGGGTAAAGGACTCTTTTGTGGTGAAAATTTCAAGAGGTTTCTTTTAATGTGAAATTTTTCAAAAAGTATGAACTTGTTGTAATGGACTGTAAATTGATTTTATTTAAAGAATGTTTAAGAAAAGAAAACCTGTACTCTGAAACCATTTCGGTTTTTGTCACGTCCGTTATGACCTACTTTTGATCGATTTTCCCGACACCAGTGTTCCAAGCCACTTAATGTTTTGTAAACTAAAGGACGCACATAAAAGCTACACAACGGTAAATTTATTTTTATAAGTCATTTCCGTTTTCGTATGATTTACATAATTAACTCTGAAGTCGTACGAATGTCTTGTCCGACATCATGGAAACACCCATATATGCTTGATGTTTTCAATTGTTAGATAAATAACTATTCTTTTTGGTTTACTATTTAATTAAGTAACAATTTCGAATTAAGCTAATCTCGTAAATAAAATTATCAGATAATAATTCGTACATAAATATTCCTCTTTTATCTCTTTGGCAGTCACTCTCTCCTCCGGCTCTAGCATGACCAATTTTTTCAGCTCCTACTTTTCCTCCTCCTCCAGTCGCAGATATACACCACCAACAACAATTGCAATGCTACTGATGGCAATCGCTACCATTACAGCTACAACAACAATGCCGACAACACTAACCGCAACAACAATGGCAATGTTAGCTGCTGTTGTTAAATTATGCATTGCAATATTTGCATTCTTTAATCAAATGGCGGTGAGTGCGCACAAATTGAGCGGCAAATGTGCAGAGCAACAGCACCAACAAAATATAAACAGGCAACAGAGGAGGCAAATACAACAAACACAACATGAGCAGCAGCAAGCATTGCAACTAATACAAAAACAAAAAATACGGCAGCAAAGTGAAAATCTATGTCACGGCGCATGTAACGAAAGCTGGCAACATCTGCTGCTGTTGCCCAGTCAATTGCCGTTGTTGCAAAATTATGCGAGGCAACAACAATGGATACATTCTGCTACTTCCTATCGGTCGGTGAAGGCAACGGTGTTCACTCACAGATAACTTAAATCAAATTATATGTGTTAATTGAATTAAACAAAACGAAAGTAAACAAATTAAATGAAAAAGTAAACTAACATTTACGTAAGAAGGCGTAGAAGATGAAGAATTCGCAGCTTAATTGAAGTAAATAAATAAATAAATAAATAAATAAATAAATAAATAAATGAGAAAAACTAGGCTAATTAATTATATTGTATTTTTATAGTAACTTTAAGTGGACGTTATGTTTTACATGTAATTATAACAAGACAGTGGCGCAGTAAAAAAAAGCGTGCGCAGCCACAACAACAAATATTGATAATTACATTTAATGCGATTATAAATGAGCGCAACAGCTGTAAGCTATCAAAATTGAGCAAAGAAGGAATTTGCATGGCAAAAGGGGAGTGGTAGAAGGATATGCATACACGCACCAGAATATGTTTCCGTACAGTGTTTTTTTTTGTTTTTTTAATATTTCCAATGTTTTTCGTAAAATTTTGTTTCGTTAATTTTTAATAGAAATATAGTTAATTCTGCATCAAATGGCACATAAATTATTAATTCAAAGCTTTTACAAAATTTTGAAAAATTCGGCAAATTTTTACCGAAATTTTCAACTTTATAATACTGAAATTGAGCGAGCTACAAAACTGCATGCTCAAAAAGATTCTAAAAATTTTTTAAAAATAGAAAATTTTTGTGAAAACTTGTCGAATTTTCCAAAATTTTGTAAAAACTTTGAATCATTAATTTATGTACTATATGCCATTTGATGTAGAATGAACCATGATAAAAACATAGCAAGGTATAACCGTTCTCTCAATTTGTCGGCCATGATTTTTTTTTGAAGTTTGCCAACATTTTAAAATCATATAAATGTGAAAATAAAAAAATGAAATTGTTCGAAATTGTTGTTGCTTGAGATTGAAAATGAAAATGTGTGTGTGAGTTTGTGAGTAAATTTAAAAATTAAATTGTTTGGAAACGTCAAGAATTTTAAAAGTGACTCTCAGCGGTTCTACCTTACTATATTTTTATCATGGAATGAACTATAATTCTATTAAAAATTAACGAAACAAATTTTTACAAAAAACTTTGGAAATATTCAAAAATAAGAAGACACTTTACGGAAACATATTCTGGTGAGTGTTTATGTATTAGGACTACGTTATATTCATACTTTTTGAATATCCGCATAAAACGGATATTCGAATATCCGATTAAAAACTCCGAGTATTTGGATAATAATACGAATGAGTGTTGACCAAATATCCTGATAACAATATGAACGCATATTAACCAGTTTTTGGAATCTAAAAATAATGATTGTTTGTGTATTAATGAAGCGTTTATTATTTATTTTGCCATTTAACAGATTCAGTAATTTTGAGAATAATTTTACGAATCCATTCAAACATATTTTAAAATATCTGGATAAACGAATCAACAGATAATAACCAGATAATCGGAAAACAAATAGGGATGGATATTAACCGAATATCCGGATTTTATTCTTAAACACGAATATCTATACGGATATCCGAATGTACGAATAGTCTCAGCCCTTAATTCATAAATGTATACTTATGTATGACGCCAAATTATAAAAATTTTGCAGAAAAAAAATTAATGTATATGTATATATTAAGCAGATATTCGGATAACAAACAGAAACAAAAGGAATGGATAATAACCGATTAACCGGATTTTATCCGTAAACAAGAATATCCAAACCGATACCCGAATAAACGCATAGTTACCTAGCATATGCATATCGTCGATGTTTTTGCAAAACCGCCCATCGATCAGTTGCAAAATCGCCAAAATCGCTACTGTGGCAAAAAAGAGATTTGGTAACCCTGAACTCCAGGTATCGAGATTTATGCATAAAAATCGTTGAATCGTTATTAAAACAACATATTTGTGAAATAATAGCTAGAGAAAATACCGCCTATCAAGGCAATGCCTTCAAAGAACAGACCGTTTTTTTCGCTCTCCTGTAAAATTTGAGTGCCGTAAGATAGGCGGTTTTGCAAAAACATCGACGATATGGATGAAGCCAAAAATTAGCAAAATACAAAAAACAAAGAAAACAAAAAAAACAGAAAATCTTATCTCCTGCAGGTTTGATGTCTGACTGCAAAGGGGTAAATCAAATATTCCACTATGAAAAATTAATAAATAAAATCACATATATAGAATTAAAAAATACATAATTAAGCTGTGTATTAGTTTTTACTTTTGATTGAATTTTTACTGTTAAGACAATTAAATTTAATAGGCTATCTAAAAGTTGTGCATAAATAAAATGTAAAAGTAATGAGTAAATGCATAAAACATAGGCAGTAAGGGGGCTTTTGAATATGAATTGTAACATAACCTGCACTGGTCCGAATTAAAGACACCTATCGAATGTTTCATCCAGTGTTTCATTATCCTGAACGCTAGTAACAATTCTGACTATGTGCCTACTAAGGAGAGGAAGTGAGTGTTTCGGTTCTCCTAGTTGATATTTTTGAGACGAAGGAATTAGTATTTCTGTTATCCATCATTCTTATCTAGTAATATTTTACTTCCTCGGCGTGAAAAAACAAAGTTGTATGTCATAGACTCTTGCTCCGATTTATGAGAGCTTTTATTCAAGATTAATTTCTATGGTAATTAAATACAATTTTTAATTGACATATTTTTAATTGGGTGGCTACTTTTGCTTGAAAGATATTTCAATCATCTTAAATTTGATACGAAATTTGTTTAATTTCGATAGGCGGCATGTTTATTATTAGGAAAGGACTTTTGTTTGTGCCTTAAAAAAATATTTGGACAAGTTTAACTGTCAGATTTTTTCCGAAATTATTCAACTTTTTCCCAAAAAGTTCGAAAACTCAAAGGGTCCAGGACTCTTGTCCCAGAGGTCCTAGGTTCCAAGAAACATTGATAATGATGTAATGTGAACGATTTTCCGTCATCCCTTGTCAAATTTGGTTTGGAGAGAAACCGGTTTCGGCGCTGTGCCATCTTCAGCATCATTCTTCGTTCTGAAGATGTGACAACGCCGAAATCGGTTTGTCTCCAAACCAAATTTGACAACGGATAACGGAAAATCATTCCACATTACATCACACTCCTTACCTGTCGGAAATTCCAACAACGGAAATGAAAACATTGATAACTTAATCCGTTGGGATTCTCAATATAACCTTCCACCTTATACGAGCCGATTAAAACTTATTAATCTTCCTACACTTTCCAGCCGCAGGCAAATGCTTGGTATAATTTTTATAGTAAATTACTAACAGGCTCAATTTCAAGTCCGCTTCTTCTTGGCGAAGTTAGCCTTAATGTTCCCTCCCGGGTATCAAGACACTTTTTCCCCCTATTTCTGAAAGTTTGTAAAACTAATTTTGAATTGCACGACCCACTCCGTTGCTTATGCCAGGATTTTAACTCTCATTCCAGCACGTTTGATATATCAGATCCGCTTTTCAGCATTAAGAAATCGATACAGTCCTCTCTCAATAAATGAATCATTAAAATAAACACATAAAATCGGCTGATGAATTTAGTTCTGTAGCTGAACAGTTTTAGATGTCGACACTTAACAAACTCCTGCCTATCGTGACTCGGCGCAAAAATTGAAAATACTGGTTCCGTACGTCATGCGGACTGCGGCCCTCGTGCGGATGGGCGGGAATGGAGGGTAAAAACCGTTGGGATATTATTATTATTATTATTATTAAAATAAGTGTTATTTTGAAGGAAGATTTTTTGTGGAAATCAATAAGAGAAAACTCTGAAAATTAAATTCGAGGAATGCCGATATATCCTGAAGGAATACAGCCACGTCTCGAATGATCTCGAAAAGTAAAACACGAAGCATTCCAAAAAATGTGGACAAAAATTCAAAGAACAGAGAATTCCCTGAAAAATTAAAATAAATCTCGATTGCATACAAAATATTTTCTTTCTGAACCATGTACGATATCGTGAAATACTCTAAAGAGAATAATGTTCGATGATTCGTCTTTTTTATAAAACCGGTTCTCGAGTTATTCGAAATAAAGAAATTTGAAAAAAAAAACGTTTCGCCAATTTCAAATTAGTAAAAACCGGATATACATGTTTTATTTTACATATTTTCTCTACGCTGACACTTAATTAACAGAATCAAAAACGACTGCTTAAAATAGGTAACTACAAGTAAAACAGAAAAATTTAATGAAAAACTCACACTTATCCTGTGTTAGGAAAAACACGAGCATATTGAACCGACTGTCGTGCGAATGAGTCGGGAATCAATCAACACCTTCGTCAGCTCTTACCCCTTGAAATCCATCATCGGAGACCGACATCACCTATCTCAGACGAAGAGCTCGACTTGATTTTCGATACTTTGACACAACTCCACTCTCGATGCTGAAGCAGGTTAAACAGTCACTACAAGGCATTTAATATTCCTCTTCCCCTACAGCCCAAACGCGTTGGATGTGGCCTTTTATACAGGTTGATTTTTGGGTATCTTTTTATTTTTATGTATTTTCAGGAATGCAAATTTTTCCAGTATTCAAATATGTATAAAATTGATAAAAAAAATCCTGTTTATTCGATTGCAAAAATTCGATTTAGTCGCTATACAAAAAAATCAAGATTTCAAAAAAACTTTCAAAAAAAAAAAGGTTAAAGTGGTACTTAGTACTTTAGTACTTAGTTAATCGTTTTATTTTAGCAATTAAGCACTTTTTAGTACCCGAAATCTTTTTACTTGAGTTCCTAAGCATCTCCATACACGAAGTATTTGGATAATTTATATACAAACGGGTATTAATAAATTATTTATATGCAAATGTCCATTACTGCGAAACAATACCAAGAGAATGCGTGCTTGAATATTCTTGATTAATTTTGCGAGCATTTTTTAGGAAAATGGTCAAGAGCTAGCCGCTGATTTTATAACAATGTACAGCTTCTGTTGCATCTAGGGATGAAACGATACCATACAGGTATCGATACTTTTGCTTGGAAGTAGTATCGATACCTGAAAAATATCGGACCTACTCATGTCGATAATTTTGACTATGAAGGTATTCCTTATAATTTAAATATGTTAAATTTTGTTTATTTTTTTATGGCATACGTTAACTATTATTTGGGAATCCTAAACTCCACCTATATGTTTGATGATGAATACTATTTACCACAGACAATTGATTGAAAAAGATTACTAGAAAGTAAATTTCGTTTAAGAAAAAAATTTGCTCATAAAATATTTCTGAAATAAAGTCTTCTTTTGTTTTACTTCCCAGAAAAATAAGATACTCCAAATATTTCAGTGCAGTGGAAATGTAGCGTTATGTACAAAAATTATGAGCCAAAGATTTAAATACGACAGTTCCAAAAATTTCTCGTCAACTTTTTCATCGTGTATACTTCGCATTACATCGACTTTGTTGCAGAAAATTTACTTGGTATCGATCGAAAAGTATCGAGTATGTACT